TCCATGGTTCACTGATGCTCAGCGCCGTTCTATCATGGATGCTTCCGAGATTGCTGGACTGAAGCTCCTCCGTCTGATGAACGACACAACTGCAACTGCTCTTGGTTATGGTATCACAAAGACCGATCTTCCTGCCCCAGAGGAGAAGCCCCGCCGCGTTTGCTTCATCGATATTGGTCACAGTAACTACACAGCCTCTATTGTTGCCTTCAAGAAGGGTGAGTTGACCGTCTTGTCAACTGCCTATGACAGACATTTTGGTGGCCGTGATTTCGACAAGGCCCTTATCGAGCATTTCGGCATTGAGTTCAAGGAAAAAAACAAGATTGACATCCAGGCCAACCCTAAGGCTTACTTCCGCCTTGCTGCCGGTGTTGAGAAATTGAAAAAGATCCTTTCTGCTAACGCCCAGGCACCATTGAATATCGAGTCTATCATGAACGATGTAGATGTGTCATCTATGCTCAAGAGGGAGGAGCTTGAGGAGCTTGTCAAGCCTCTTCTAGACCGTGCTACTGTCCCTCTGCAACAAGCGCTTAGTGATGCTGGCTTGAACCCGGAAGATATTGATGCCGTCGAACTTGTCGGTGGTTGCACTCGTGTCCCCTCACTGAAGGAGAGAATTTCTGCTTTCTTCAATAAGCCCCTCTCCTTCACCCTTAACCAGGATGAGGCCGTTGCTCGTGGTTGTGCCTTTGCGTGTGCCATTCTGTCACCCGTCTTCAAGGTCAGGGACTTCTCTGTCCACGACATTGTTTCTTACCCTATCGAGTTCACATGGGAGCAATCCCCTGAGATTCCTGATGAGGACACCAGCTTGACCGTTTTTAACAAGAATAATGCCGTTCCCTCAACTAAGATCCTTACGTTCTACCGTAAGGAGCCATTTGACCTTGAGGCTAGGTACGCCGAGCCTGACAAGCTTCCCGGAATCATCTCACCTTGGATCGGAAAGTTCTCCATCAAGGGCGTCAAGCCAGACCCCAAGGATGACTTCATGATTTGCAAGTTGAAGGCCAGAGTTAACCTTCACGGAGTTTTGAATGTCGAGAGCGGCTACTATGTCGAGGAGGTTGAAGTGGAAGAAGATGTAAGTTTGCTTCTCTATCATGGGACGTACATCAATTCTAATAATCGCGTGTTTGACAGCCCATGGAGACCGACGAGGCTGCCGCTGATAAACCTAAGGAGAAGGTTAAGGTTAAGAAGCAGGTCAAGAAGGGCGAGCTGCCAGTCATCAGCGTCACTGCCTCACTTGACCAAGAGATGAAGAACATTCTTAATGAGCGTGAAGCTGAGATGGTCACCCAAGACAAGCTTGTTGCCGACACCGAGGACCGTAAGAACGCCTTGGAGGAGTACATTTACGAGACCCGTGGAAAGCTCGATGATCTTTATGCTCCATTTGCCTCCGAGGAGGAGAAGAATAAGATCAGAAGCATCATGGACAATGCTGAGGTAAGATCACCCCCTCCCTATCACGACCTCTTTCTTCGCTGTCTTCTAACAACGTTTACAGGATTGGTTGTACAATGAAGGTGAGGATGCCACCAAGAGCGTCTACATTGCGAAGATCGAGGAGCTTCGCTCCGCTGTAGGCCCCATCGCCCAGAGGTACTTTGACAAGGAAGAGGAGAAACGCTCAGCGGAGCGAGCAAAGCGCGATGAGGCCGAAGCCATGAGGAAAGCTCAAGAGGAAATGGCTAAAAGAAACAACGAGAACAAGGACGCCGAGATGAAGGATCCAGATGGTCAACACCAGCCACAGGTGGATGACTGCCAGGATAGAATGGATACGGATAGGGCTTAGATTTGGGAATATGCTTTAAACTATTAGTTCTAGTTCTTGTTCTCTTTGCCTTTATTTCTTTTATTGTTTCCCGTTTTTTTCTTACTTTACATTTTTTTTTTTGACGTAGGGTTCCTTACGGTTTTGTTACCGAATCCCGAGGGCGATGAAATGGGTGACAGGCATACTAAAAAAAAAGCTTTCGTACATTACCCTCATTTTTGTTCTATTTACATTACTGGCTACGGCCGGCAAGCTGTGATATCCTCTCCTTTCGGTTTTTTTATTATTTATTCTTTGCTTGTTTGCGTTGCTTGGGCGAAGAATGATACACTTATGTAGAAATTACAAGTCAAAAGGCTGAAAAGGTCAAAAAATGAAATAGAAGTGTAATTGTGGTCTCCTAGTAATGCCTTGGAAATAATTATCTTGAAGCATGACCACTCACTATCTTCAATAAGTATTGCATTGAGTTCCGTGAAGTTTTTATTCAATCTTACACAGTGGCAGTATAGCGTACTTATTAGATATTCTCAACGAAACAAAATTACTACATGATTCACTCTATGTATTCCAGGGCACAAGAAAGGTGCTGCACAGGTGTCCACATTACATGTAGTTAGGACGTTAAAAATAACTGCGGGAGATTGAGAGGTCACAGAAAGTTTTGTTAAGTACAGTAAGGAAGCAATTCTTTATGGTTTACTCAGCCTTATTTCTACTTCAGTCAATAAACAGTGTGCAAAGTGAGTCATGAGAGATCACTCGGTACATTTGAATCTCCAGGATTGTGGAAATTCTAGACAATCATATCAGAGATGAGAACCTCTATATTTTCTCAAGTAATATCAAAGTGTTTAGTGAATTTCTAAAAGTACCGAGCGAGTGATCTAGAATGAATGAGAGAGTAAATTTGATGACGTCACACTCGATGTCACCCTTTAAAGCGGCCATACATGTATCTATAAATACCAGATCTAATAAATTTCTAGGCAGTCATTCCTCATTCGGTTTTAATATATACCCCGATTTGTATAAGATTTGGACTAAACCCTTAACTAGACTGCGCTTAGTCATGAACATGTCCTTCTTGACCTCCATTTTCCAGATTCATGTCAGGATATACGGATGCCTCGTTTGAGATTCCTCAAATTTGCTGACCACAGTAAGTGCTTAATTCTCGGCGTTAGAAAGCTACCTTTTGTGAGATACTCCACACCACGGAGTAAATGTGTTCCCTTGAAAATTGCTTTGGATGAAGGAGTAATCTTGCATTTGGAATGAATCATCCTCGAGTTTTTAGATCATGGGTTGTGATGCCTGTTTTCAATCTTATTACCAGTGTTTGTATCCTCCCCTTATCCCGTCAAGCAGGATCCATATCTTCGAAATGTCGTGATTAGTAGTACTGTGCCTTTGCACAAGCCGTATTACTCTAGCCTACCTTGAAGATAATCTCCAATAACTGTCAGAGCAGGTTTGTGACAATCCCAAAGGTTAATTAGTAAATAATCTCACTATTTTATCTGTTTTGATTTGATACAAAGGCAAATGACGATGCACAGTGCCCTACTAGCATTAAGTGGTGTAGAGTTGTCCTATCGCATCGAGTAAGAATAAGCGACTTAGTAGAATCAGATTATAATTTTGAGAAATCAAATCATAATATATCACTCACCAAGTGAAACCTGGCTGTTTGAGACAGAAAAGATCCATAAAAAGCTTATTTTCACAAATTAGCAGTTATTCTTATCAGAAACCCATATTCAACATAAAAGCCTTCGTCTTTCGAAATGGGCTTGCGGTCTTTTGCCAAGCCGGGTTTCTTGGCCTTCTTATCTGTCGATGGAAGTAAACATCTGAATCAGAGCTCCTACTGATTCTTGTTTACTCCTGTCATTCATGCATATAAGTCTGTAGGATTTCGATTTGATGAACATTATATACGGGTACGGGTACCAGTTTTTATGGTGGTGAAGTGAATTTTCTCAAGATCCGGCTAACCCCACGGATGAAAAGATCCTGGGTGAGTCAACCAAGCTCGCCGGTACCACGGCATGCTTGCTCCATACAGACTGTCTAATTCCTATGACAACATCAAATAAACCCCGTATCGCTAAGACGCTGACCGCAGAGCATTCTCAACCAGAGAAACCAGCGCGTGGGGAGGGCTTTACAAATCCGAACAGTTGACAAAGGCAGTGCCACGGATAAGATGGAAAATTAGGATATAGATAAGCGGCGAGGAGTAGCATGATGAGGCGATCGAAAAACCAAAACATAGTGCGTAAGAGAAAAAAAAAATGTTGAGGAGGGGCAGAATTGAGATTCAAAGAGGGTTAGCAACAGCAAGAGGTAAGATGAGGGAGATATGGTACCTAGGCTAGAATGCATGACCAACGCACAAAAATAGGATCGCGGGGCAAAAAAATTGTTTCGTGGTGGGTGGTGGTGGTGTTGAGTTCGCGGAATGGGAAAAACAACCCGCATGGGTGTGTGATTTCCAGCCTTTGGAAGGATCATGAAGGGGACAGGAGAGGTACGGGAGGTACGGGAGGTACGGGGAGAATATTTCGAGAGAATGGTAAAGAGATTACCGAGGGCATCGGGTACTCCTATTTTATATATATGAATAAGGTGAATTTATGGATTTTGTCGGAAAGCCTCCGAGAGATTTTCGCTCCGAGTTTCCAAAGCATTAGCGGGTTGCCGAGAATAGGCGTGGTTCGCACTTGGAATAAGATGGTAACACGCGCGCGTACAGAATGGGGAGGGACAGACATCCAGGGACCTGGGGATGCAGTAGAGGGCATTTGATTCTGATTGATTCTGAACGCATCTAGATTGCAATTTTACTCTTGTTTCCGTGTCAAGTGGGTTTGGAACGGGCTACGGCCACCCCCGCTACTTGCCACGATAAATACCTGAGCCCTCACCCCTCATCCTCCTTACTACTCTTCAGTCAAAAACTCAAACACGCATCCTCCATCTTCATCATCAAACCTATATCCTAGAATTTCTTCCTCTAGAGTGAGTTTATTTTCCCGGTGTCTAATGTTTGTTTGATGCCTTCTCCTACCCGGGGATAACCACTATCTTGGTAAACAAGATTTTATCCTCTTGAGCTATCTACACCCCACCCCTCCCAAAGGCGTCATTCATCTCAAAAACAGCCCTAACACTGCGTTAATAGATTCACTAAATAGTCAAAATGGTTGTCAACGTTGGAATTAAGTAAGTTTCTAAAGAACTCTCACCGCTATCTTCAGTAACTGACAATATCTTTTAGCGGTTTCGGACGTATTGGACGTATTGTATGTTCCACCCGATATCCCTCCTTGGATTTATTTTTCGATGATTGTTTTCCCCAAGAATCTTGTAATTCTAACTTTGTTGTTCTGGGTTTCTTCAGGTCTTCCGCAATGCGTAAGTCGAGCCCAACACCCCACCATACCTTATCGTTATCTCTGCATCTTATCAGCGGGGCAACATGGGGATCTGATAGCTAACATAATATTAATGCAACAGCGTCGAGCACGACGACATTAACGTCCTTGCCATCAACGACCCCTTCATTGACCCCAAGTATGCCGTCTACATGCTCAAGTACGACTCCGCCCACGGTAACTTCAAGGGTGAGGTCTCCTGCTCTGAGGCCGGTGACTTGATCGTCAACGGAAAGACCATCAAGATGTACCAGGAGCGCGACCCTGCAAACATCCCATGGGCCCAGGCTGGTGCTGAGTACATCGTCGAGTCCACTGGTGTCTTCACCACCATTGACAAGGCCTCTCTTCACTTGAAGGGTGGTGCCAAGAAGGTCATCATCTCCGCCCCCTCTGCCGATGCCCCCATGTTCGTCTGCGGTGTAAACCTCGAGAAGTACAACAAGGACATCAACATTCTTTCCAACGCTTCTTGCACCACCAACTGCTTGGCTCCTCTCGCCAAGGTCCTCAATGACAAGTTCGGTATCGTTGAGGGGTTGATGACCACTGTCCACTCCTACACCGCTACCCAGAAGACCGTTGACGGTCCTTCCGCCAAGGACTGGCGTGGTGGACGTACCGCTGCTACTAACATCATCCCTAGTAGCACCGGTGCCGCTAAGGTATGTGAAAATTCTGTTCATTTAGAGTATCCATACTAACAATTATTTCATAGGCTGTTGGCAAGGTCATCCCCGAGTTGAACGGAAAGCTCACCGGAATGTCCATGCGTGTCCCCACCCAGAACGTCTCTGTTGTTGATCTTACCGTCCGCCTTGAGAAGGCCGCTTCCTACGAGGCTATCAAGACCGCCGTCAAGGAGGCCGCTGCTGGCCCTCTCAGCGGTATCCTCGCCTACTCCGAGGATGAGCTCGTCTCCAGTGATCTCAACGGAAACAACCACTCCTCTATCTTCGACGCTAAGGCCGGTATCTCTTTGAACGACCACTTCGTCAAGGTCGTCTCCTGGTACGACAACGAATGGTGAGTTAATTCCTTGGTTTTCTTACTCTCGCGTGAATATGTTGCTAATTTCATATTAAGGGGTTACTCTCGCCGTGTCCTCGACCTCATCTCTTACATCTCCAAGGTCGACTGCGCTTAAATGCGCGTCGAGAATTAGAGATGTGGTGGTGGTTTCTTTTGCTAGGGTTCTTTTTTTTTCTTTTTTTGTGGTAAACGCATAAATAAAATATGTATTGCAATGTCATGCGGGAAGAGATTTTTCGGGCATCAAGGTACATGAGAGGATGGATCAGCGCAGGAAACAAAAGAGGGGACATTCCTTTTTTTTTTCTTTTTTTAATGTCGATACCTCCCAAACAAAATAAAAAAATAAGCCGGTTATTCGCCATAAAAATATTTCTCAAATAGTCCTTCCCATTGTAACTACGAGTAGGGCTGAGTATGTTCTTACTGTAGCCTGCCTGGATAACGGCTATAGTTCCCGGTTCAATAAGGCGAAGTAAACTGGCCCCAACTGGCACTTGCGGTAGCTTATCGCAAAAGTCAGGATAAGCCCACCCAAAACAATATCCGATCCTCAGTACTTATGGGTGGGATACCAAACTTGCATAATTATCTGTTTATTCCTCAGTTTTACTGGCTGAAGCTAGGGCGTGAACTCAAAATTTTCACTACTCGCAATTTCACAGCGTTTCCGGACGCAACTGCTATTGCATACACAGAAAAAACCCGCCAAGGCTATCTTTTGTATGGCATGCAATAGTGGTCGCGTCCGGAAACGTCAAAAAACTACGAGTAGTAGCCTTGATGTGAAAGGGGCTATCATAATGTCTTTATCCTCATCAACGGATATACACGCATGCACACCCGCACATTCACTATCAAATACTTTATAATTGTAATATAATGAGCTCATGCGCAATGGGCCTATAATTCGTATGCTGCTAGTAACATGTGCTTGTAATTATAGAGAAATGACGGTTAGAATAACTGCTAGGCCCTTAGTAAGTTTCGGTAAACCATATAGCAAACTTATATTAGAAACCTTTCCAGCATTATTCACCCATGTCGAGTGATACGCCATGGTTACAGGCCAAGCCTTATCGGATCAGAGTGCTGAGTAACGCCAACTTCACATCCAGCGTCGAACCTCCAAACCCCACGCACGACCCGAACACTTTAAAACCTCCGATTCAACACCAATCTGCTCAGCAAGCTACTTCCACCATGACGCTCGCCGAAACCGTGAAGGATGCCGTCCATGACCTCAAGGAGGCAGTCGTAGGAACTCAGCGTACGGCCCAACAACCCCCCCCCCCCTTCTTCCGAACCCCACCCCCCACCAAAATCGCGATTAATGTAGTTGTTCTAACAATCACCTCCCGGTTCCTTTAGTATCCAACAAGGAAATGGCAGATGCACGGCTGCCAATTGCGTATAGAGACAAGTGCGCGCACTTGCTCGTCCCACTGAACCGATGTCGCTACGATACATACTACATGCCATGGAAGTGCGAGGTACATATCTCAACCTAACACAGCTCTCAGGGGAATTGGTGCAGTTACTGATGTTTTGGGCGGGTGCAGGATGAGAGACATTCCTACGAGAAGTGCCAGTACATCGAGTTCAAGCGACGAGTCGCGAAGATGGACGAGTTGAAGGCCGAGAAGGGCGGAAGAAGCGGACTGAACTGAGAGAGGATTCCAGCGATTCCCACAACCAATATGAGGATGAGCGGCAGCCACGGTTTGTGCATAGTGTGCATAGAAATCTTAGCAAGTGAAAAAGTGCATCGGTAGACGGTAGACGCTTGTCAGTAATCTAGATATATATTCCCAGCACAGTGGCCTACAGGAATGGGCCATGTAAGGATATTATTTTGCACCATAGCGGATAAACCCGCGCTTATACGCCGCACAACCCATAAGAAGGAAATCAGGGGTGTCAAGCTTATGGAGTCAGATATCGAATAGGCTTGGTTAATTGAGTGACAATTGTGATGAGATAAAATCAAATCGGAAAAAATCATCAGTCTCTCGGGCTTAAAAAACTCGGTTTTGAGATTGTGCACATTCAACGCGGTGAGAGTGCTGTAAGTCAGAGCATTGATAAAAGCAGTTCCATTCTACAGTCGGTGCTGAGGAAGGAGGCAAGAAAGTGAGACTCGAAAGAACTGGTGCTGGTAGACAGAAAAAACCCTGAGCAATGAATATATCGGTACATACATTTGATTTGATGCGAGCCTAGGAAAAAGAATTTCAGGAGTTGCATCCAGGATTGGTCCACAGAATTACAGCTTTGGTAAGCTGCCGGATGCCCCGAGTTTCTGTTGGATTACAGCTCCGTGTTCGTTAGTCCTGAGGCCGTGGATGAACAAAAATGGAAGCTGCGTGAGATAGAACTCGGATACCGGATCGCTTGGGTTTTCTCAAAAACCTTCCAGAACTACCGTTGTCTCAGAGTGCTGTTGTGCAGTAGCAAGAGTTGACGATATTTCACTAAACCCCACGCATAAAAGGTTTCATGATTCAAGAGGGGGTCAGCCCCGCAACCTCGCTCCACACATCTCTTATCGAAGATGTCGAATTGAATTTCATGGGCTGGCGGTAAGTGTGGTAACTCGTAGTGGTATTGATATAAATCTATCAAAGCTGGGTATTGTTGTGAGATGATTTTCACGTGCTACTCGTATTCGAGAGGGTTCGACTTATGACTGGTAATAATCTGTAGTTCCAGAAACATGTTCAAAGGACTGTATGGTAAAGGGGTGAGTAAAGTTGCCCCACGTGCATACATGTAGTCAGTGGGTCAATGATAGACTTTCTGTCTTGGCTTAGGCTCGTGGATTATCATATTCCAGCCGGCTTGACTCATGGATTACACAATTCGAACGGTGAACAATAAGTCAACGTCCAAAGGCCGGAACTCATTTGTTATAAGGTGGGCCCAGTAAGCTACTTGTTTTGGCAGCAGACCCCGTGCATGTCCAAACTTCAAAACTGACCTTTCTTGTTGCGATATCAATCAACAATATCCCATAGATACACATAATGAACCCTGTATGATATTGGAATTTACCTACGCGCCGCTATATTTATCGCTAGGAACTTGGGACATTACATACATGTACTACTAAAGTACCAAAACGGAGGGGGGGAGTAGGATTATTACCGCACTACCGCCGCGGAATATTAACAGCAAGACAGCAGATTCAGCAACCCCATATTCCTCTGATACTGTATCGCTTGGGCTTGCAGGGGCCTACAGTTAGTGAGCGCAGGAGCCACATCCGTGGAGATCTGTTGGCACAAGAACGCAATTGCAAGAAACGTCCGAGCACAGCGCTTTATTTTCTACGTTTGCTTAATCGGACAACGGTCTGTAGATCTAGAGCAGCTGCAGATTAGGGAGCTGATCATAGAATTGTGCACACGTATGCATCTTTAGAGCATGCATATACTGTCTACGTTAGAGCATGTAGGTCTACTCCAGACTACATGTTTCAGAATTACAGATAAGAGTTTCTAACCGAACCCTACACTCTAACCTGGATATCAAATTGGGATAGCCAAATATACAGACGACAGGCTATGTATCAAAAATCCTGTACCTGCTCTAAATATGTCCTCAAATACCAACATTGACGTTCCCCATAGCCTCCAAATAATGGGAAATTGCATTCGATAACATTCAGTCAGCGGCTCCCACTGATACACGTATCAAGCCACTACAAACAAAGAGTAGCACGAAACACGGAATTCTTTCTCTAGCCACAATCATCCGGATTATCTTCTTGGTGATTTCTATTCGTGCTGCTCGAAACCAGCCTAATTACTCCGGCGCTTTGAGGGCGAATAACAACCCCACCAGCTGTGAGGATTTCGGGGCTACAACCGGAAATGCCAAGTAAAGGGGTATGGAAACCTTGCTAAACCCTTGTCGCTACTAAATAAACCATGCGACATCCGCTCCGCTAGTTACCAACTGTTTGACTGGTTCGCCTCTTCTTGAAACGATGCGCTGCGAATTATTCCGTCCTCCCTTTTTGTCTTCTCGCTTGTAGATCTCGGGATTGGAGAGTCAGTACAAGTATCATACTTGGTCGCACTCTCTTCTTTCTCTTCTGCACATATTAGATCCGTTCTCTCCCCCTTGTCAGCATTGAGTGCTATTTTTCTTTATTTTCATTTCTTTCGCTAGCTTTGGACTACGAAGATCGTGCAAGTCACGAATTATCATTATAAATATTTTTTTTCTACTTTGCACCCCTCTTTACCGAGTATCACATTTCGAAACAATGATGGCAAGTCCTAACACCACCAGAGCCATGATTGCGGCAACTGTCGACGAGTTCTCATTCATGTTCACCGATATCCCACCACGATTGTGCAACGCCAACGATTCGCCGTCGGTGAACCATAAAAACGGCTATCCTCCACACCCTCACCGGGATTTTGTAATCCAGCTCAATGAGAAGCTTGAGGCGTGGAACGCTCGTACTTACCCTCTATCACCTCCCACATCAGACGAGTTTTCTCTCTTCTCCTCCTCAACTGCTTGCGGGTACAGCACGATTGACAGGATCAATCCATACGATCTTTACGGCCCTCCAACTGCAGAGTCTGAGACTCCCTCCCACACTCTTTTATTCCAAGACCAAGACCAGGACCGCAGTGCGACCTCCTCCGCTTCCTCACAAACTCCAATAAGTCCAAAATTTCAAAATATCGCCCTGGAAACCCCATATATGGATCACTGCACAGCACCACCAGCTTACACTGAAAACCCGTACTCGGCCGCAAATATGCACAACGCAAACCCCTGCTATATCCCGTTTGAATATGCAAAACTACCTCATTTCCACCCCCCGCGGTTTTCGCGCCGCCTGAGAGAACTGATTGCCGATCGCCGCCGGCCCATGCAATTACATTTACTACCTTTACACAAACCACGAAACAACGAGAAGCAAGGATGGATTATTGCCACTCCAGACTCCACATTACTTCCTACACCAAGGAACAGGTTTTTGGCATGGTGGGATAGCTTTGATCCACGGCTGGTGGTTTTTGTTAGCTTAATGACAATGCTTTTTGGTGTTTTCATTATTGCGTTGGTTGTGAGTGGCTTTTTGCAGTGATG